AAATGGAATCACTAGGCTGGGCGCGGTGGCTCACGCCTGTAATCCTGGCACTTTGGGAGGCCTAGGCAGATGGATCACCTGAGGTCAGGAGTTTTGAGATCAGCCTGGCCAACATGGTGAAACCCTGTCACTACTAAGAATACAAAAATTAGCCGGGTGTGGTGGCACATGTCTGTAATCCCAGCTATTAGGGGGGCTAAGGCAGGAGGATCACTTGAACGTGGGAGGCGGAGGTTACAGTGAGCTGAGATTGTGCCACTGCACTCCAGAGTGGGTGACAGAGCAAGACTCTGTCTGGAAAAAAAAGAAAAGAGAGAGAGAGAAGAGAGTTATAATGTGAAGAATACCTGGACAAACAGAGCTGGAAAAGGTCATAGAGAGAGGGTTCTCATGTCTGTATGCATGATTAACAAAGACCACAAAAATCACAGCCTTGCACAAAGGCCATTGCAACCACACATCAAAAATACTCTGCAAGCATATATCCAACTGCCTGTCAACCGTGACGGGCATCACCCTTGTTACCAACCTGTGCAGTCAGGGATAATTATCTCAAAACAATAATGTAATCCTCATGTCTTCCTTTATAAACCGTTCTCCTCTCGCCTATAATCTCGGCACTTTGGGAAGCTGAAGCAGGAAGACTGCTTGAGCCTAGGAGTTCAAGACCAGTCTGGGTAGCATAGAAAGACTCCGTCATCACAAAAGTAAACAAAGCCAAAAAACCCCACCCAAACCAAAAAACTTCACAAAAACCTTTTTATTCCTTGATCTACCTGAATGCACTCTATAATGGCATGCACATTCCCATCGTAACGCTCTACTTCCAAATAAACATCTTTTCTTTTCAGAGATGCTCTTTTAGGTTGACACTAGCAAAAACAAATGCTATCGAAATGTACTTCCATCTCTTCAAACATGTGGACTAAAAATAGCAACTCTACAATGCTAGGCACTGCTCTAGGTGCTTTCTACATGTATTAAGCCTTACAAGCCTGTGTGGAAGCCGGTAACTTGGTTTTACATAAGAGATGAAGGAGCTCCTGCAAGGGGCCACAGTTGGAAAGCTGTGGGGACAGGAAGTGTGACCCCAGGGCGCAAAGCTTTCCAGCCATTACTCCTGTACAATGGCCTCGACAGTGATCTCATTCTACATAGATGCCAGATTAATGTCAGCATGGGGGCAAAAGTCCCTGGGGACCTACAGTTCAGTATACAGAATAAACCAGCTCTTGCAGCAAAGTCTGTCTGCATGTCTTCTCCAGACAGGGACAAACGGCTGTTTTTTAGGGTGGAGCTCCAGATGAGACAATCAGAGCATTCAGGGCCACATCTTATGCAGATCAGGCATCTTCAAACACCAGAATCAATGTCAAGAAAGTAAAATTAGTCCACACACACCATGTTTATGGCACAACTTCACTGGACTTTGCAGTTTCCCAATATTTTCCACAACTTTCTAGGCTTCCTCCCAATGCCAAGGCTGATTACAGAACTTGGAGGAAAAAAGAGTCTGCGGCTTGGTGCAGTGGCTCACGCCTGTAATCCCAGCACTTTTGGAGGCCAAGGCAGGCAGATCATGAGGTCGACAGATCAAGACCATCCTGGCCAACATGGTAAAACCCTGTCTCTACCCAAAATACAAAAATTAGCTGGGCGTGGTGGCATGCGCCTGTAGTCCCAACTACTCAGGAGGCTGAGGCAGGAGAATCGCTTGAACTCGGGAGGCGAAGGCCGCAGTAAGCTGAGATTGCCCCACTGCATTCCAGCCTGGTGACACAGTGAGACTCTGTCTCAAAAAGAAAGTTTGTTGAAATCGTCTGGAAATATTAACAAAGCTTAGGTAATTCTAATAGCCAGTGCTTAATATGCCTGGCTTCTAAATCCATTTCAATCCTCTATAAGGTATGTACTATTATCGTTCCCATTTTACAGAGAAGGAAACTAAGGCACACAGAGGTTAGGTAAACTGAGCACATGGTAGACTGGGATTTTTTAACTGATGCAGTGATTTTATTCAGAGGTCAGCAACTATGGCCAGCTTGTCTTTGTCAAGTTTCACTGGGATACAGCCAAACCCATTTGTCTGCTATGGTCCATGGCTTTTATGCTGCAATGGCTAAGCAGTTTGCGAGACCCCTATAGCTTGCAAACACAAATTTGTTCGGCGAGGAGTGCAAAATATTTACCATCTACAACTTAGAGAACACGTTTGCCAACCTCTGGCCTTAACCATACAGCACCATGATCTTTCAAGGTGTACCTTAAGATCACAGGAGCAAGTTGTCAGGCTGATTCAAACTCTTACATTTTCTACCCATCTGTTACAAAACTTCCAGGGAAATAGGGAAACTAATTTCTGATTCATAGCAAGTGGCACTATTCTGGTTTCTACTACAATCTGAATGCTAGTCAAGAGGACAGAAATGATAATCAATCATCATGAAAGAACAAATTTCAGAATTACACTTGGCTGCCTTGGTGGAATTTTGAAAAATAATTTTTGTAATGTTTTACAAAAAAATGTTGTACCACTTTGACTCATTTTGGGAAGTGAATAATTTAGCTACAATTTATCTTTAAAATGTTTGTATTCATCCATTCAAATATAATAAATAATACATAGCAATAATTATAGCAGGCTGGGAACGGCGGCTCACGCCTGCAATCCCAGAACTTTGGGAGGCTGAGGTGGGCAGATTATGAAGGCAGGAGTTCAAGACCAGCCTGACCAACATGGTGTAACCCTGTCTCTACTAAAAATACAAAAATTAGCCTGACATGGTGGCGTGCGCCTATAATCCCAGCTACTCAGGAGGCTGAGGCAGAAGAATTGCTTGAACTTGGGAGGTGAAGGTTGCGGTTAGCCAAGATCGTGCCATTGTACTCCAGCCTGGGCAGCAAGATTGAAACTCCATCTCAAAAAAAAAAAAAAAAAAAAAAAAAAAAAAAAAAGAAATAATCACATCAAATATTGTCATTGTCTGGTAGACACTGTAAGGATTACAGCTGTGTGGGAGAAAAAGGGTGCAAGCCTAGGGTAGGGTGTTGTTAGAATTAACCCCTGCTCCCCAACATCTCCCATCACAAGTTCCAAGTGCCGGAAATACATATCCAAGCCCCCTCCCAAGTGTGATGCGCATACCTTGCGAGTCATTCACTTTCTTCTTCTAAAATAGTGGTACCCACACTTTTAGGGCTGAGAAAGAAAATCTGCTTAGGAATAGCAAACATACCAGGCTTTGGCTGTAAATCTTTTGTGGCAAAGAAGGTTAAGAGAAGCAAAGTGGCTTTTTTTCTTTTTTTTTTTGAGATGGAGTCTCACCCAGTTGCCCAGGCTGGAGTGCAGTGGCGCAATCTCGATTCACTGCAACCTCCGCCTCCCAGGTTCAAGTGCTTCTTGTCTCAGCCTCCCGAGTAGCTGGGATCACAGGTGCCCGTCACCACACCTGGCTACTTTTTGTATTTTTAGTAGAGACAGAGTTTCACCAATGTTGGCCAGGCTGGTCTCAAACTCGATCTCAGGTGATCTGCTTGCCTCAGCCTCCCAAAGTGCTGGGATTACAGGCGTGAGTCACCGCACCTTGCCTGCAAAGTGATTTCTGTGCAACACTGGAAACTGATGCAACAATACTCCTAGGCAGAACGAGGCAGTTATTAAGTAAAACATTTAGCTAGCTCCTTAGCTTTTAAAGTTGCTTAAATAGGCAACCACTCAAAAGATTAGATCATAAAAACATACTGCTTGCAAGACTGTAAGTTTGCCCCCCACTTCCCCCCCACCCGCTTATTTATTATGAGACCAGGTGTACCAAGAACATTTATTTGCTTATGTCTTTACTGATGGTTCTGTCAAACTGCAATTCCAGAGTTATGATAAGGTTGCCTCTCATTACAGAAGTGTCAAATTAGCTCTAAGACAATTTTACTTTTCTTTAAAGATACAGCATGTAAAAAAAGAGTTATGCCAAAAGTTTCTAACACTTGTGCATGTAACTTCGTTACAAAATTCCCAGAAAATGTAAGAGCCACACACATTTTTCCCCCTCCAGAAATAGCTTGCATTTATAAACAATATATCATCACTTGCTGACATGCAAGGCCCCTAAATTTGGTATAAAAGCCAAGAAAAAACTCCACGAATTTTCATCTTGCATAGACAGAATGAGGTATTAAAAATGTTTCTCCAGGTCATTTCAAGGAACTGTTAGTTCATGGCACATCTTACAGTTAGTTCTGAGCTCTGGATTTCAGAATCATGTCACAGTAACAGCATTTACTACCAACCTTCCCTATTAACTTGATTCAACTCCAATTACTTCTTTGCTTTTCTGCTTGTAGCAAGGAGGATGCGACAGTCTGCATCTATCAGGGGACTTAAAACTTTTTTTTAAGTACATCTTCTGACAATCCCACTAGTATTTAGGCTGGAAGGTAGGAGGTTCTTGCTCCCAAAGTGATTAGCATAGTGCCCAGCAAACTACTAGGTTCTCTCAAAAAACATCTTCTGACCACACTGTCATCTGAACTTCTGAAGGCGTGCCATGTTTTTAACACGTTTCTTTTCCGCAGGTGTAGAAGCAATCTAAACTGTAGTAATAATTTAAATGAACAAAACCTACATCGCTCTAGCTGACCAGCATCAGTACATGAATTGGCTTTTCAGATGCTACTTAAGAAAGCAGAAAGGGATTATCTTGACACATTTTGACTCCAATTCCCATTTTTTCTCCCACAGGAGTACAGGCTATAAAGCTCCAAATATTACCACACACATTACAAGAGCCCCTTGCTTTTATCTACTGAAAGCAAGGAATGCACAGGTGAAGTCATTTACTATGTTGTTTTGCTAGATTTGGAAGCCTCCAGGCTCATTTTGTTGTGCTGCAAACTGAAAATATATATGAAGGGCTTCTGCTAACAAGTAAACCATCTATATGTAATCCATTCTATTTTCTATTCCATTTCAGATTTAGTCTTAATAAAGTAATACCAACCACTTAAAGAAAAAACCTTTAATTTAAAATTCTGATCTATGCATAAAATTCATTTTTATATCACGGTTAAATTTAGTACAAACTATAAAAATGTTAACACTGAAGTTTTCAACAGAAGTCTATTAAGACGCCTTAGAAAAATTAAACAACAGCAAGTTATTTACTGCTATGAGGTTAATACATAAAGAAAAAAACATTCACACATTTTACTGAAATTTTCAGTAAATATCTTTAGCCGTAATACTTATAATTAAAAGTTCAAAAGTTGTGTGTGGCTCTATAGCAATTATACTTTGCAATGGAAATACTAAGCCAAATCTTTTTGAGCTAATCAGAACAATCCTTGCTTAAAAAAAAAAATTGATTGAAATTTGCAAACCTTAAAAAGGACACCAATTGTGAATAGAATAGGTATCATAACAGCTTACAGTGGAAGATGGTAAAAACTCGATGCTTAAGTCTGAATTGCACAAGGAAAATATTAGGGGAAAAAACACTTAGCTATTACTGATAGCTATCACTTTAAAAAAATATTAGATCATTCTTATATTAAAAACATGAAATGAATCCAAGACAGACAGTACTGAGTTTTTACACAAGCCTCTTTTGCATTCAATGTTGTTTATTGAGGAGTGAATGAGAGACTACTGCCAGACATGCCAATGACACTTCACATTCAAGGGCTGGAAGCTGGAAAGCTTCCCAACTGAGTCACTGTATAAGCCTTCCAGGAAAAAGAACCAAAGTGACATCAAATATGCCATCTTCATGCTTGTTTTATGTCATCAGTTGTTTTTTTTTTTCAACTTTTGGGTCTACTGGTTTGCTGGGTAGTAGGCTTCTTTCTACCCTACAGAAAGACTCGCACTCCAATTAACAACGAACACTGGGTGTAGAGCAATTTGTGTGAGCGCACATCTACGCTGAGTAACTGTTCTTAAAGCTGTTTTTCCTTAGATTCCTTATGTCTAACGAGAAAAATTAATTTTATTTCCCCTTCCCCTTCAGGTGGGTGGGTTATACCGATAGAAAAATACTCTTGAATGCTACTGCAGGGCTTCCCAGGAGCACCTTCAGTGGTCTGGTAGAAATCCGTGGAAACTCCGTTCTGCAACACAGTGCTGCTCTTCCTGTTCATGGCTCTCCAGAAGAATGGCCTACACATAACACTACCGATCTCTTTTGCTCAAAAACAAAACAAAGAAACCTAAACAAAAGGGTAAACGTTTATTTGGAGTTAGTTTTCTGGTGGTGACATTAAGGCCCTTCACGCAGAGTTCAGGAGCTCCTGAATGGCGGCCTGCTGCTCAGGACTGAGCTGGGCTATGCACTCAGTCCACAGTCCTCCAGAAGTCTAGGGAAAGAAACATGTTCACAGACTTAGACACGGCGAAATGCTCATTCGGAAGGATTTTAATCATCATCATAGGTAGACTGTAATAATGCCAAAATACTTTCTCCCTAGGTAGCTTAATTTGATGAATATCATTGTAAAAGCAATTAAAGCTCACTTCATTTACAGTAAGTTTTCTTTATTTTTGCATCGATAAAGCTACACTAAGCAGATAACATCTTAAAGTAACTCACATACCACACGAATTTAGGAAGTAAAAAATCATTTAAAGTTTTTTGGCAGGTGACAAGTTATTATTAAATCTTGTTTTTTCCCCTTCAGATAGGCAGAAAAACTACACATAATAAGCCTCTGTTAAGCACCAACTGGTAGGCTCAAAATGTCCCAAGATGAAGGTTTTAATTCTAATAAATAGTAAGAACATGTGGATGGATTACATTAGGTATAATCCACTTAAGGCTTGGAGGCAAGAGACTATGAAAATAAAATTTCCTTAGCTCATTAGATTTCTAGTTTCTTCTCTCAGAGGAATATAAAGGAAAAAAAGGCTTTATCACCCCTTCCCCAATTTAACCAAATCAGCTTACCTGTACTTGGCGGACGACATTGGCCAGACGCTTGGCACAAGGATCTTCGTGTTTAATTGCCTCGTGCATTTCTCCTTCCGCAATTATACTGAATATTTTGGGCAGATTGGTATTGTTTGGGCCAAGAACAATTGGATGATTACTGACAAAAGGGAAGAAAACCTTTATAAGTGAAATTTATAAGGAGAAATATGATTATGTGTTCACTAAAATCAATGGCCTTTTAAATGCAGTAGGAAGAAAACCAGCCAATTTTACATACGAGCTCTTTAGTGTCTTCCTATATAAATTAGAAAAAAAAAAAAAAAAAAAAAAAATAGGGAGGTGAAGGTTGCGGTTAGCCAAGATCGTGCCATTGTA